GTGCTGGGGGTGCAGAGGGAAGGCTCCACCCTGGCACCCCCGCCCCCCAGCCTTCAGGGCCACAGAGCGCCCACGAGGCCGGGCCCTCACTCCGCTTTCTCCCGCCCTGGAACCCTCAGAACATGGACAAGGGGACCGTGCCATCGGTGACGCTCATCGTGGGCTGTGGCGTGTCGTCCCTCACCCTGCTCATGCTGATCATCATCTACGTCTCCGTGTGGAGGTGCTGCCTGAGCGCGGGCAGGGGCCGGGGTTGGGGGGCCGGCCCCCGTGGGCCCCAGGAACCCCGCGGCCGGGGTCAAGTCTTGTCCCTTCTTCTTGGAGGGCGGCCACGGGGACAGGCTGGTCCAGAGCCCCCTTCCCCGTCGGCGGTACCGTCCCCTCTGTTGTCACCACCCCGCCCCTGTCTCCCCCTGCCCACCGCCATCACAGATGGACCGCACCCCCACCGCACCTCTGCCACCACCCTCCTCCCTCTGTCCCCCTCCCTCCCCGACAGTCCCCACGGGCTCCCTGAGGGCCGCTGCCTGGATGCCGGGTAGCACTGGAGAGGTGGGGCAGGTGTCGGTCGGGGATCGACCGGTCACCCTTTTCTCCTGCCCTCTGCTGTGCCCACGCTGCTGCACACAGAAGGTGGCCATGCGTCCCCCTGCCCTCAGAATGCCCCCCCCCCCGGCAGATGCCAGCCAGCCTACTCCCCAGCCAAGCGCCCTGCCCTGGGACCCCGCAGCCCCCAAACTCTGTGTCCTGCCGCACGGGCGTGCGAGGTCTTCTCTGAGCCCGGGGTCAGGTCTCAGGGCAAGAGCCTCCCCTGGCCTCCCTGCCCCTCACTCCCCTCGCCCGGGCCGCGGGGCCTCGTCACAGGACCCCTGGACTGCTCCCCCGGCCGGGCAGGGTGGGGGAAAGGCAGCAGTCCCCAGCCGTCCCCAGCCCTGGGGTAAGGGACATGTATGCGCAGGCGCAGGCCACAGACGAGCATGAGTGTGTGCGGGCACGGGGGCGCCTGCGGGCAGCTCTCACCTCCCTGCCCCCAGAGCCCTGCTGTGAGCCCCACTGAGGTTTCGGGCTGGGAGTGTGAGTCAAGGTCACCCAGCCCATAGCCCTGCGGCTGCCTCTTGGTGTCTGGGCTCCGTGGGCAGCAGAACTGACGTCGAACCCTGAGGCCAACAAGGAGAGATCAATGTGTAGGCGGGGGAGGGGGCCTGTTTCCCCGTACCCCCCCCATCCTCCCCTAGGGCAGGAGCACTGAACCACCAAACCCCCTCATCTAACCAGCACCCAGTGCTCCTCCCACTCAGCCCCTCCTCAGACCATCTGTCCCAATCCCCGTGGGCGTGCTTGGCCCACTGGGCCAGCCCCTCCCCTGAGGCCTTGGTTTCCAGAGACTTCTGGGAAAGGAGGCTTGGGACAGCTCCCGCCCCCCAGCCCTGCCTGCCGCAGTTCTGAGGGTTTTGCTGAAGGTTTTCAAAGCGCCTCCTTTCTGAGCTCTGCTGGCTGAGTCACTGCCCCTGTGAGCCGCAGTCAGGACCCCCAACCCCTTGGAAAGTGGACCCCCCCCCCCAAGGTCACACACCACATCAGACCGCATCATGGCCCCTGAGGGGCAGCCCTGTACCCTCTGCTCACCACCTGCCTGGATCTCAGCCCCCAAGGCCACTGGGAGGCTGGCTGCCCTGGAAAATGGGAGAAGAAGGGACGGGGACTAATGCTTTCTGTATCCTGCCCCTTGAATCTCAGTCACCGTCCCGAGCAGCAGATCCCGTTCCCTCCACCAGTCTCACAGACGGAAAGACAGAGGCACAGAGGGGTTGGGCCACTTGCCCAGTGTGGCACAGCTGGAGTATAGCTAAGCCACTGCAGCCCCCACTCGGAACCGTTTTGTCTTCTGACCTCAAAGTCAGGATCAAACGGGGTGGGAAGGGCTAGCGGGACAGGGGGAAAGCTAGGTTGAAAACCAGGAGCAGGCAGAGACTGAGACCCCAGAAATGCTCCGTGTCCAAGGGATCCGGTGACAGGGAGAAGATCTTACGCAAAAAGGGGAAGCAACTCTAAGGATGAGCCATCCCCAGCGGGAACGGTCAACTGCGCTCAGTGTCTCCCCACAACCCTCCCTGGCACCCGACTACATGCTGGAATTTAGTGTGCAGTAGGCAGGAAGTGTGGTAGGGGCGGTGGTGGCGACAGTGGCCGCAGCAAGGTCTGCAGGGAGGAGGTGGTGCCCCAGTCTTGGTACATCCACAGGACCCCAGTTCCCGTGACGATGAGGCCCCGTGGGGCACTGACACCCTGTCTCCCGTAGGTACATCCGCTCAGAGCGGTCTGTGATCCTCATCAACTTCTGCTTTTCCATCATCTCCTCCAACGCCCTCATCCTCATCGGGCAGACCCAGACCCGCAATAAGGTAGGTGATCTCTGCCCTACCGTGCACACCCCGGCGTGCCCAGGTGGGACGGGGTGACGGTGATGCCCCCCAGAAGGATCCCAAGGAAGCTCGGGGAGGAGAGCGCAGGGCCACACACAGTCCCCCGTTCTCCTCCGACTGCAGCCGTCGTCTGGCCAGGACCCGATGTCTGGAGTCTCCAGCTGGACTGGCGCTCTGAGATGAGCCGGTTCAAGGGCCCTGGCCCACCACTGGGGCCCAGACCGTCTGGTCTTGTCTGTGCCATGTGGGCTTGAGGGTGATTTGTCCTCCCTGGGTGTCGGGTTCGGCACCTGCTGAACAGGTGGACTGAACCCAGAGCCCTTGAGCGGGTTCCCGCCGGCCTTGGGTGTATCTCTGGGTAGTCGGGAAAGGTGGAGGGAGAGGGGACTCTGTCCCCGGCAGTTTGTGGCCCGGGTGACACAAGCACTCCTGGGGGGTGGGGAGGGGGCGGCTAGCCGATCAGCAGCCCTCCTACAGGCAGTGGACCGGGGGACCCCTCGGTGGCTTCACGCCTGGGGATTTGACCCCATTGCTTCTGCAAACGCTGAGCTTCTGTCAGCCTCACTCGGGGCGGGCAGGGAACGGGTGAGGGGGCACCTGCCCGGCCTAACCTGCCCGCCTGCCCCGCCCAGGTGGTGTGCACTCTGGTGGCTGCTTTCCTCCACTTCTTCTTCCTGTCCTCCTTCTGCTGGGTGCTCACCGAGGCCTGGCAGTCCTACATGGCCGTGACCGGCCGCCTCCGGAACCGCCTCATCCGCAAGCGTTTCCTCTGCCTGGGCTGGGGTGAGCGGTGCCGGGGCAGGTGGGCGGTGGGGCTGCCCCTCCCCGGGCCTGCCCTGCTGCAGCCCCTCCCCCTCCCCCCTTGCCCTGCCCTCGTCCTCCTGGGCCTCCACAGGGTTGCCAGATAAAACGTGACACCAAGTCCATTTGAATTTCAGGTAACGACTGATTTTTGAAGTACATCCCATTCAATATTTGGGATGCGCTCGTACTAAACGTGTTTTCTTTTTGGAATTTTTTTTTTGACGCTTATTCATTTATCTTGAGAAAGAGAGTGCGTGTGCACATGACTGGGGCAGGGCAGAGAGAAGGTGGGGGGGAGAGAGAGAACCCCAAGCAGGCTCCACGCTGTCGGCACAGAGCCTGACGCGGGGCTTGACCCCACGAACCGTGAGATCATGAGCTGAGCTGAAATCAAAAATCAGGTGTTTAATTAACTGAGTCCCTCGGTGCCCCCAAAATGTTTCCTTTTTTATTTGAAATTCAAGTGTGATTCGGTGTCCTGTATGTCGTTTGCTGACCTGCCTGTCACGACCACGGTTCCATAGGCCCTCATCCCCGTCCACCTCCTGTCCCCTTCTCTTATGCTAGGTGTCACCCCCCCGTTCAGGGGCTTCGGAGGCACATTGTGCCCCCGCCTCACCCCACCCGTGGGGCTGCAAGGAGGCAGAGGGTGGACGGGGCTCGGATGGTGGGGGGACCGACTCCCTTTCTTTCTGGTCCTTCCCCAGGGCTCCCTGCGCTGGTCGTGGCCATTTCTGTGGGATTCACCAAGGCCAAAGGGTACAGCACCATGAACTAGTGAGTCGGGGCAGGGTGGGGATGGGGTGGAGGCCGCTCGGCTCCCCCAGACCCTCCCACTGCCCTAGAAGGTGACAGCTGGCTGGGTGCCCGTCTCACAGAGGAGAGACCTAAGGCTGGGAGAGGGTGGGGGCCCCGGGGCTGAAGGCTGGGCTCTTCGAGGGGCTGCTTCCCCTAATCAGCCAGCTCCTCCCGGACTGGGCAGCAGGATGGAGAAAAATGAGGCTCGGGGCCACTGGAGCTTTGCACCTCCTCCTTAGGTACCTCGGACAGCTCCGGTGGCCTGTTTTCCCCTCTGTACCCACACGTGCACCTCTGCATGACTGTGGTGACAGGGGTGGCGCATAGCTCCTGGGCAAGGCAGGTGGTAGGGGGCCTGTTTTGCAGATGAAGTCAGGGAGGCCCTGAAGGGTCAGCTGGGCGAGGTCCGGGGGCCTTGAATGCCAAGCCAGGAAGCTTGGGGTTATCCTAAAGGCAGTGTGATGATTCCCAGGGTTGGGGGAGAGGAACCAAGGCCAGGAGCTGTGGCTGCAGGCCACAGGGGAGGAACGGGGGAGCCAGAGGCAAGGGGAGGGACTGATGCAGGCTGCATGGGCTTGGCTCTCCGTGGAGCCCCAGGGGAACAGGCCATGGCTGGGTCCTGAAGCAGTGCCCCACGTGGGCAGCAGGGACAGTGGACATGAAAACCCATTTACCGGAAACCCCAGTAGCGTGAGTGCCGGGAGGTAAATATGGACACTGTCCCCCGCGCTGAGAGGGTCAGGGGTGGATCAGGGGAGGGTGAGGCCATTAAAGTGGGGGTTCTGAAGGATGAAGAGGAGTTTGTCTGACAGCATGGGGTGGGATGCTCAGGGCAGAGGCCACGGTGCAGAAGAATAGTGTCTTCGCTGGACTCGGGGCTCCCGTGGGCCACCGTGGGTGGCGGGGCTGGCGACCATGTGTGCGATGAGGCAGGACCAGGCCAGATGTGTGAGCAGAGCACCGGGTGCCCCCAGCCGTGGGGCCTGGGCTGAGTGGGCAGGTGGAGGGCCAGACCAGGGGCCCGACCCAGAATGTTGGAATTCTGTTGGGAAGAAGGGTCTGTGTGTGAGGCTGGCATGGGGGGGGGGGGCGGGGCCGGGGGGGGATCTAGGAGGAGAGTGGGGGGCAGCCTGGGGCGGTCAGGCACCCTTACCTGGCCAGCCCGGCTCTGTGCTGTGTGGGTCCGAGCAGCCGTGCCGCTGCCCTGCGCCTGCTTCTCCGCCTGTGAGCCGGGCCCGCCAGTGCCGCCCAGGGCCCCGAGGGCTGGGAAGCCAGCGTGAGTGCGCGGCGTGCGCACAGGAGGGCTTGCTAAGCGCCCGGCTCCTTCTGCCGCTCCCCTGCGTCTCACCTGCCTTCCTGGGGGGCGGGGGCTGGGCCCACGCCTGGCCACTGACCAGCCCGTCTCCCTCCCCAGCTGCTGGCTCTCCCTGGAGGGGGGACTGCTGTATGCCTTCGTGGGACCGGCCGCCGCTGTCGTGCTGGTACTGAACCCTCCCCGCCGTCCCAGGTGGCCGTGGGCTGTATGCGTTGCCCTTTCTGGGTCGCCTTGATCACCAAGGGGTGGATGGCGTTCACGGTCCCCCTGCCCTGCCCTCGGGGTGCAGGAGTACAGAGGCTGGGCTGCAGGAGTGGCCGTTTATTTCTGTGAGCACAGCATGTGTGATTATCGGGCACCGGCCGTGTACCTGCCAGGAGATAGGTGTGAGTTCACCGGGTAGGCGACTGGCCGAGTGGGGACAGTGGGCGGATGGCTGACGGGGTAGCAGGGAGGGCCAGCTAGGCCTGGGTGAGGAGCAGAGGAGCCGGCAGAGCCTGAGGCTGGGGGGCCAGGGGCCTGTCCCTTGCTGCCACCAGCTGTCACCCTCTCGAGAAGGAAGCACCTCCTTGTTTTCCCTCACCCCTACTTCCCACACTCCTTTGGGGACGGATGTGAAACCGTGCCATGTGGCACACAGGGTTATTGTCCCCAAGTTAGGGCTGAGCAGGGGGAGCTGGGCACGGCTGGGGGCCTCTGCCCGCCCTGCCCGAGCCCAGCCCTCTCCACGCAGGGCCACACCGCCTTGGTGGGGGCACCTGGGCACAGGCCCGGGGGAGGCCCCGCGTGTGAGGGTGGAGGCGGTGGGCAGCGGGCCTAGCCTGAGGGTCCCGGCTCCTTTATTCCTTGAAGGGAGAGGCCTGCGTGCTGTGCATGTCAATGCCGCTCTTCAGAGGCCGGGCCGGCTCGCCGTTTTACAAACAGGCGAGACCCAGGACGGATGGGAGGCTCAGCTGGTGGAGGCAGGAGCCCCCATCCCCCACACCCCCTCCCAGGGTGCGTCCGGAGGGCACGGCTGGACCCCAGCCCAGGGCCCCTTCAGTGACACGGGGACACACAGGTAGAGACAGCACAGAGTCCGCTACAGGCAGGGTGGTGGCAGCGGCTGTCCTGCCCCTTCTGCCCCTGGCCTTGTCAGAAAATGAGGTCACCCAGGAAACATGCCTCCAGCCCCGGTGCCGGAGTCCGGGAACTTTCCGTTCAGACGGGGATGAAAGGCAGGGCCTGGCCGCTGCTGTGTGTGGAGTCATGAGCGCTCAGATCGAGGGGCTGCAGGGCGTCGGGGCGCCCCATATCCAGATCCGAGCAGTGTGGGGCCAGTCCTCGCAGCTGTCAGGCAGCTGTGTGGGAGCCAAGGGGAGGGCCTTCAGGGGAGCACAGAAATGAGCTGGGAGCCTCCCCACCCAGGAGAAGGGACCCCCCAAGGTCTCCAGGGTCATGGCTGGGCCGACGGGCGCACCCTGGGGACAGCTTCTCTTTCGCGTAGGCGGTGGCTCACGCAACGATAACAGCTGGAAGCACTTCGTAGGGTGCGGGTGGCTGGCGGGAGGGGGTCAGGAAGGGTACCATGGCAGCGCAGGAGCAGTGTGGCCCCAGCACGGGGAGGATGTCCCCGAGACGGCCCTCCGGTTGGGCCCTAGCGAGGGATGAGCTCCCTGTTGTGGGAGGAATCCAAGGAGCGGGGGGGGGGGGGCGTGACCGGCTGCGGGGGCACAGGGCACCCCCAAGCATGATGGCGGCTGGATCACACGAGGTCCCTTCTGTGGTCTGAGCAGGGCAGGCACCCTGTGTGTAGAGCCAGCCTGATCCCTGACCTGCGACCTCTGGACAGATGGCATCCCAGCTCGGCAAACGCTGCCGACCACAGTGGGGACAGCAGATGGGCCTCCGGGCTGCCCAGTGCAGGCCAGCCCGGGGTCCAGCCTCTGGAGGGCGCCCTGCACGTCACCCTCTGAGCCCCAGCTGGGTCAGCCCGGCCCCTTCTCATGTCCACCCCTGCCGGCAGGGCTCCCAAATCCTTGGGGAGCAGGTCACGTGGGAGGGTCACGTGGGGGACTTGAGCAGCAGCACCTCGCCCTGGGCGGAGCCCTGTGGCGGGAGAACCCCCACCTGACGGCTGCTCCGGGGGGAGGTGGCCAGGCCGGCGGGGCTGGCGAGCCTACTGGGTGGCGCTCTCTCCCCTGGAGCCCCGCCCCCACGCCCTGCTCCTCTCTGCAGGTGAACATGGTCATCGGGATCCTCGTGTTCAACAAGCTCGTCTCCAAAGACGGCATCACGGACAAGAAGCTGAAGGAACGGGCAGGGTAGGGCCGGCCCCGGGCGCCTCACCCGCCTTGAGTCAAAGACCCAGAGCCCACCCGCTGCCCCCGGGCCCCAGAGCAGGTGGACAAAGGAGGCTCAGAGGCCCGTGCAAGGCTCACGGCCAGCCCCTGCTCTGCCCTGTGCCTCAGTTTCTCCGTCTAGTTCTCAGAAACAGTGAAGCCCCTTGTTTTTGGAGACCCTACCCCTGCGGGGACCACAGGGACGGTGGAAGGGTGCACCTGGCCCCCCGCTTCCCTACCCTGGGGTGGGTGACCCCGAGCGAGGATACAACCTGCCCATCCTCATGGTGGCTTCAGCGACGGGAGGAGGGGACAGGGGACAGGTAGGATGCTCCTCCTACTTGGGGAGCCGGAGCCCAGAGGGCAGCGTCTGGCCACAGGGCACGTGGCTCTGCAGGAGGCTGGTCCCGAGTGTGCCCCGGCCGCCCCCCAGGGGATGGGAGCCCTGAGGTCACGGACGGGGGCAGCTACTGGCTGAGACTGACCCCCTGACTCCATCCTGCCCCAGCCCTCTGAGCCCTCCGCACCTCACCTCTGCCTGCCGCTCTGTGCATCCCTCTGCCCTCGCCGGTGCCTACTCCCCTCCCTCCATGCCAGTCGTCCGTCTCTGTCTCTGTCTCTGTCTCTGTCTCTGTCTCCCTCCTCCTCTTCCTGCTCCTCCTGCTAACCCTAGTGAACAGAAGCTTCAGGAAACCATCCTCTCTGGTCCTGGTTAGAAAGCCGCTAACGCTGCTTTAGGGGAAGTGGACGACGACCCCGGAGTGCCCACGGTGGCTGGGAGTCTGGGTCCCCCATTCCCTGGGCCTCATCCCCTGGAAGTGGGGATTGGCACG